TAGGACCTTCTTCAGCTGAGGATGGTCATGTAACACACAGGGAGGAGAACCGGGGCTCCATCTTCCTCTGCTGATTGTCTGGGCACTGTCCACCTCATTCCAAACCAGAACCAGCAATATTTCCTGGAAGTTCAAAGATATTTTTCTCCCTAATGTTTTCCTGACATTTGCTTTCATTTCTCACATCCTGAAAATAGATATGTGGCTCCCAGCACTTTTTCAAATCATAGGAGCAGTAACCGTAATTTCCATTTCAAACAGGATTATTAAAATATAACCACATCTATACATATCTCAAAGCCTTTCTGGTTTTTTTATTTTTAAGCTTTTAATAGCACATCAAACTTGGTAAAATATTTTATAGAATGATCAGTTATGACCCCAAGCCAGAGTATTTGTTCAGAGTATTTGGGGTAATTCTGTCTATGAACAGTGGGGTATGGGAAGCTAGCTCTTGGAAACACTTGTCGAATGAAATTATATGCCTAGTTAGTCTCTCGGTGGTAACAGAGGTGAGAGTTAAATTTGGGTAATGTGCTGAGTACTTCACAATGCTCCATAGTGAGTACTGTGCTAAGTGCTTTACCACACCCCACAGTACTACTTCTAGCCCTATTTGACACACAGATGAGAGAAATTAAGCCACAGAATTACCCAAAGTTAGAGACCTAGTTAGTGACAAAGTGCAGCCTCTAGCTTGGTCTCTATGGTGCAGAATCCAGGCTTTTCCTTACCCAGCTCCATCTTGCCCCATGGGAACCCTTACATTTGTTTAAGGCTACAGTGCTCTCAATGAGAGGAATGAGTGGAGCATCTAGACCTGTGATCCCAGCATCCCATGGCCTTTTGAATTGCACAAGGAGACAAAGTTGCCAGAAACACACACACACACACACACACACACACACACACACACGCACACACACGCACAGGCCCTCTTTGTCAGCCAAGAGCAGCCCTTGGAAACGAAGAGTGTGAAATGACTGCCACACAGTGAGGGCGATCCAGCCAACAAAGAAAGGAGTGCTGTGCCTGGTGAGGAGTCCACACAGTGAGGGCAATCCAGCCAACAAAGAAAGGAGTGCTGTGCCTGGTGAGGAGTCCACACAGTGAGGGCGATCCAGCCAACAAAGAAAGGAGTGCTGTGCCTGGTGAGGAGTCCACACAAGGCCAGGCTTCCCTCACAAGTCTCAGCAGCAAGAAACAACAACAACAACAACGACACCCAAACCACCACAACAGCAAACAAGCGAACAAGCAAGAACAAAGGAGGAAGAGAGTGCTGTGAAGCTGGTATCAGTAGCCATGGTGGCAGCGCATCCCTGACTCTTTTAGAAGCAGCAACGGATACAAGTGGCTGAAAATGGCAGAGAAATGAACCAGAGACAGAAGACAGAACAGCTTTGCTGCCGAGGGGCACAACCAGCCACCTGTCTCTTTCTGCCATGAGGTCTGAGCGGGGTGGAATGAGGGTGGCAGTGTCCTCTGCCCGGTGGCCTCATGGCATCTGTGTGGCCTGCAGCACAGCCCCCCGACAGAAGTGCTGTCAAGGGAAAGAATGCGGATAGTCGCAGGCACGGAGGCCCAGGGATGCTTGATCGCTGTCCCTGAGCATCTCCTGTGCACCTGCTGCATAGGCCAAGGTTGATATTCTCAGTCTATCCAGTAGAGGGCGCACCAAGCAGAGGGCCCAGGGGCTGGTCATGACCTCTGTTGTTTGTTGACACGTCGTGAATAAATTATGCTTTCTCAATGTCTGATTCTCTCTTCCATCCAGATTGCTGGCCTCCATTTCTCCCATAGAGCACAGTTGGAGTCACCTCTACAGTGACCATGTGACATCACAAACCACTCACTGTGCTCACCTTCATCATGCCAGAGAGTGTTTGCAATGTTTGATAGAGACTTCCATTAAGGAAAAGTTGAAATTTTATGGCTAGGTACTTAAATGGTTGTTCTGCTAGTTAGCTGGGAAACTAGCTTTCTGGTTCATGTCCCAAAGACAGTGATAGCTTATTCTACACAGCTCCATGTGACTTAGTGATATTTGAAGCCAGGTCTGGTGGTGCAGGCTGTAAACACAGCTATTCTAGAGGCTGATGCCGGAAGGTCACACGTTCAGAGTGTGTTTAAGGTCTGGCTGTCGGGGCAATTGAGCAAGACTCTCAAAATTTAAAAAGAAGGGTGGGGTAGGGATAGTGTATTTGGGGGAAGAGTGCTTGCTTAACATGTATGAGGCCTCAGGTTCAATCCCAGTAAAACACACACACACACACACACACACACACACACACAAATGCATATAATATTTTGATGATTGCCATAAAAATTAATTTCTAGATTTCTGTGGGATAGTAAATGAAGGGCTACCGTGAGAGTCTTTTAGTGATCAGAGCAGGTGATGAAACAGAAAACTTCTATCAGCTCCGAGGACTAACTGACCGGCACAAGACCAAAGGGCAGCTCTGTTAGTCACATCTTCTTCCCTAGAAGCTTAGCTGAGTCCTGTGGGCAGAAATGCAGTGGCCTTTAACACATGCCTCCTCAGGTTTAGGCAACTGCAATGCTGCTCTACCACCAGGCATTTGGTGACCCTTAGAGCTGCAAGTGATTTTGTCCTTACAAACTTCTATGGTATTGGTTCATTTCTCTCCCAGTAGCTTACTGTCTACCTGTCTTCAGTCATCTGTGGCTTATTGTTTTTATAAAGACAAGACTGATTCTGAGTCGCCTCTGTGCCCCTGCCTTCTCTGCACTCCTGTCCAGCACTCTGCCCCTCACAGTATGCATTAGGTACTGTCTGGCTAAGGAGAAATGCCTGGCCTCTGCATGGAATTTCTACCTGCCAGGAACAATGGAGGGCTCTCATTCAGATTGTGGGCTCTGTGACTCTCAGACCAGTTAATATCATGGTGCTGTCATTCCTTCATCCCAGGAATGGAAACAGCAGTGATCATGAACTCATAGAGCTGCTATGAGAAATTACTGAGATGATCCTTATAATTTGTATACTTTTGCCTCAAAGAATATTTCCCCCAGTTCTCACTATTGCTATTATCAAAGGCAGGATTTGCTCATCAAGGATGCTCCTCTGTGTTGCTGTTGGGCAACTGCAGAATCAAGCATCACAGCATTTTGATATTTCACTTCAGATAATAGTGGCTCTTCAAAGAAAACAATCATTCGGATCTAACCTGACTCTGGGATGAAAATGTTTATCAAGTCGAGCCATTTACCAGACTGTTACAGGTAAAACTGTAAAATAGATATCTATACAATAAAACTCTTCAGAGAACACTTTGGAGAAAAGCATAGTTACATCTGCAACTGCCTACAGTTTCTCCCTACAGTTTAGGAATTGTACACATACTGCATGAACCACAGTTCCGTAGCCCTTTAAGGAATCCACAGGCTTGATCCTGGGTGTGAGAAGACAGAGCTGTTGGGGAGGAAATGATAATTAACATGGCGGGCACTGAGTTGAAGAGAGCTATGTTAAGGAAGACCCTAACATTCAGTACTCTGGACTTCCATTACAGAAAGTACATCCTTGGGAAAGCCCAAGCCCTTCTTCCCTTCGGCTCCTGTTCAAAGGCTCCTTGTGGCAGGGGTTGGTTTGGCAGCCCCCGGGATCTTGAGTTCATCTTAAGATAATCCTGAGAGGGGCCTCCAAGTAGACTCACCCCAGGAATATGTATGACTATTCTAGAAGGGGCATTGGGCTCATATGCCTTTGTTTGCTACCCAAACTATCAGGATCTTTGAACATTAGTGTCCTGTGCAGTTTTCTTTCCAAATCTAGGTTCATATGCTGATTTCAAGATCTGAGATTCTCTTTATTCTAGGAACCTCACTCCTTGATAACACTGTGCTGCTGCTTTCAGGAAGGGGCAGAGGCATGGCATCAATTAGCACCAGCTGGAGGTCAGGCTGCACCCTTCACCCACCATGAGGTGTGGCCCTTATGAGTCTTTCCTGCTTGTTACAGCATAGCCTGTAGCTTGACTCAGTTCCACAGATTCCCCAGAGTGACGATCAGAGTCAAAAGGCAAGGGTGAAAGGTTTATATTCCCACACTGTTACTGACAGACTTCTGTGAGAAAAGAAGCAAGTGAGTAGCTCTGAATGTGCTTTGAGGAGCTGCAGATGGTGAGAGGAAGAGGGGGCTTGGAGAAAGTGACTACCGTCAAGGTCACCTACTAGGTAACATTTGCTCCCTGAGGTGGTCCCCTACTGTACCTCCTGATGCAGACCCGACAAGCAGCCTTGATTGGTGCTTGCTTACTCTACTCTGACCCCAGGCCAACACTGCACACCCTTCTCCATCACCAGGCACCACCCTGAGGCCTGCTGACCACATGTGTGGTCGTCAGCTGACTGCTCACTGCTGGACTCCCTTCTGCTCCACACTCCCCATCCTGCTGCTCCAGTGGGAGACAGACAGGTTGTCACATGCCTCCAGGAAGACCAATCCTGCCAAAAGGATCCTAGACTCATGATCCATTGATTTTACTTTGTAGTGACAAAAGTCTATACTGTAAAGTTTACAGACAAATTTTATTTAATTTTTTGGAGACCATAGGTTTTTCATTTCTGTATTCAAAAATACATTGTTTTTGCCTCTGTATGGCCACCCTGGCCCCTTATGTAAACTTGAAATCCTTATTCCTAGTATTTACTGTCTTTTCTTGCCTTTAAAAAACATGATGTGTTTTCCTTCTTATCTTGATTACTGTTCACCCCTCCTGAGAGAACAGAGGCCATATGAATGCAGAGACTTTGATTTATCTTGTTATTCCTGCACCCAGAGCAGATTCTGGCCCAGTGGAGTCACTCAGCAAATTTTGGTAGGAAACTGAAGGCTGAGTGGCAAATGAAGCAATGTGTTTGTTGCTGTCTGGCCAGGCCACATGGGTAGGAATGGGACCCTCCTGTGACTGCCCGTCATGACTCTGGGAGCACATCTGGTTGCTGCCCTCTGTCCTCATCCTGCCACTCACCTTCAGCTTGTGCTCATGTTCCTTGTTGACCCGGGCCAGCAGCTGCGCCTTCCTTCTGTTGAGGGCATCGATGAGGGCATCACACTGGGCCACCAGGCAGGCCTCAAACTCCACGCTGTTCTCCTGCACAAGAGAGCATTCTTCTCAGGCACAGACAAGAGGGCCTTGGGTAGCCAGAGAAACCAAGGGTCCTAACCCTTCCCACTGAAAAGAATGGAGAGGAATCTGTCCACAGAGCACACCGAGTATTTTTCAAATCACTGGTAAAGGATGTTCTACAATGGTACTGTTTTGCTTTAAATTTAGATGGAAAAGGGTAGGCATTTGTTGCTTAAATTCATTTTTATCAAGAAGAAATCACCTCTGAAGTTTGAATTATAAAATGTACAATAAAGGTTTAGCTTGTAGAGTGGTGCATGGCTCCTTTAAAGAGCCCATGTGCTCAGCTCTGCATGCTGGAAGGTAGTAACCAGGGGAGGGAGGTAGAGCCAAGTCAGGAGAGAGAAAGGATCACCAAATTCAGTGGAAGGAAGAAGAGTGGATGACAGGGGTCGTCAACATTAAACAATGACCCGATGTCATCAACAGCAGAACTATATAAGGTCCAAGGGTAATGGGCAAAAGCAGCTGCCCCTACGACAAAGAAAAGCAACGGCAAAGAATAAGTGATGTTGGTGACAAGCAATACCTTGCTGCAAAGTCAGATATGACACGATAGCTTGCTGGAGAATAGTAGCTACATAGTAAATGAATTAGAGTGACTCCATGATAGCTAAACTACAAACCAGATTAATTTAGCATTTTTATTTGATTTTAACCTATATATGTCTTTCAGGTAAGCAATTCAGAATTATAGATATTTATTAAAGATAACTGTCCACTGATACTGCTTTGGTGGCTTTCTTTAAATACAAAGTCTTTGTATAAGACCTGCATTAGTAATTGAGCAATGGCTCCTATGGTTGCTAATTTTGGCTCTCATGGTAATGGTCTTTTGAGTTCTCAAAGAAGGTCCTTGAAAAACATCATTCAAGAGCTCGCTGTGTCCTGTGCAGGGTAGTGGTGGGGGTAGGTAAGAGGACGCCTTCCCCTTGAAGGCTCTGCCACTGTGTTCTTACAAAAAGAACACTTTGCTGGATGGAAAGGCAAGACAGAGGCAAGCCTGGGGCTACACAGTTTGTGCCAGCTAAAGCAAAGAAAGAGCCGATTGATAAACTCCATTGCTTTGAAAAAACAGAAGGAAGTGTACAAAACTGCTGGGAATCAAAAGTTTTAACATGCACATGCATACCCCCCTCCCCAAAAGGCGAGGAAACCAGTGTGTGATGCTTTGAAAGGCTGGCTTCCATTTAAAAATTCATTTCTGCTTTGATATAAGTTAAACAGTAACTCAAAAAGCCAATTGACTGGAGGGCAGAGTTAAGGTTAGTTCTGTGAGGAAAACCTCAAAACATACAAGAATGGTAAACAGCACAGAGGGTCATTATTTTATGCATTTTATGGCTTTTCCTTTCCTGCTGTAGTAGAAAATTTATGTGTTCTTAAGTGCTGGCTGACCTGCTGGTCACTGTGTCCAGATAAAGTAATCTGAAAGTATAGTTACCAAGGACTACCGTCGAAAACATCCACGTGTCTCAGTAGAAGAAACACTTTAGTATGGGGCAGGAAGAAGGTGGGGAAGAGAGAGAGAGAGACAGAGAGAGGCAGGGAGAGAGAGAGAGAGATGACCTGTTAATGTTAAATAAAATTATGTTTGGAGAACCTATAGAGTTTCGGAAACTCAGAATAACCACCCGAATGCACAAAGAAATAGCCTTCTGTCTGAAAACACTGGAGTAGAGAACTATGGTTTCAGAGTGGAAGGCAGGAAGCACTTGGAAAGCAAGGCAGTGTCTGTGGCTTGTTACAAAAGACAGCCACCTCAGGAAGGAGTATGTGCGAAGCTGGGCTTTGTGTGTGTTTGCCTGTGTAGAAGAGACAGGGCCGATAAAAATCAATAGGGATTTTCTCAGAATTCATAAACAAGACGCCTTTTAGTTTTGCGTCAGCCTGAGGCACCGGCTTCTGTCTCTAGCCAGTCATACCTGGATCTGCTGCACCATATTGCGAAGTTGCACCAGAAACTCCTTGGCTTCTTTGGCCCTGTCTGACAATCCATTCAGTGCCTGGGAGAGCTGGCTCTGCAGAGAGAAAGAAGGAAACTCTGAGTTGCTGTCATGCAGGGTCACATGGGGTTGCCATAGGTCCTTGAACCCAGAAGCCATTAGCCTCCCCAGAGTCCTCTTGTCTGAGACTGGGTCATTGAGGTAACACTGTATTGGTGGATTCTTGTCCTTCTGTGGGCTCCTGAACCCTTTCTTCTCTGAAGCAGTGGATATTTCTGGCCATGAGAGTCATAGACCCTACCACTTAATATCTACCTGGAATGTCCACATCTCATTAATAATCATTTATTTAATGTCTATCATTTTTTAAGGATAAAAAAAAGTGAGTCGTGAGGCTGGAGAGATGGCTCAGTGGTTAAGAACACTGGTTGTTCTTGCAGAAGACCCAGGTTCGAATCCCAGCACCCACATGTCAGCTAAAAACTGCCCTTAACTCCAGTCCCAGAGGATCCGACAGCCTCTTCTGACCTCTGCGGGCATCACATGACATGGGTGCACTTACCTACATGCAGGCAATACACGCATACACATAAAATTAAAAAAAATCAAATTAAAGAAAATATTAAAAAAAAAAAAAGGCTGGGCATGGTGGCACGTGCCTTTAGACCCAGCACTTGGGAGGCAAAGGCAGGCGGATCTCTGTGAGTTCAAGGCCAGCCTGGTCTACATAGTGAGTTCAGGTCAGCTGGGACTACAGGGAGACCCTGTCTCAAAAAGACAAAAAAAAAAAAATTAAAAAAAAAGTGAGTCATTAAGGATTAAAAAAAAAGGTGAGTCAGCTGAGCTGATTTCTAGTGATAATACTTAGCCCAAAGGTTATTGGTCTGGGGCAGAAATAATGAGGAAAATCAAGAGCAGGATGAAGAAGGAAGGGGGAGGTTCTGGTGTGATGATCTGGGGATGACAAAGATGAAGGAAGGACAGGAGGGTATCCATGCCACCAAAGTCCTCTTCCCTCCTGCTTTTGCTCTAAGTCCTCTTCAGCCTCCTAACCAAAGGTCCACTCTCCTTTTGATTTCCAATACTACCCACCCACCTGCAGTTCTGCAGGGAGGCAGTGTGTCCTGGTAAGCACTGCTTTGGATCCTTGCTGTCTGCTGGGGTGGCTGAGGCCCACAGTGCTGATGGATAGGACCTAGGTGTAAATCTGCTGGGGGAAGGAGGGTCTGAGAGAGCTGACACGGGACCAGTGTGGTTGGTGTAGTTTCTCTTGATGGTTCCAGTCTTTGAGGTGGATTGGGGTGTCTTCTGACTTGCATTTGGAGGAAGCCAACTTGGTAGGGGTGGGGGACGGGGAAGAGGAGAGTGTGAGTCAGCATCTGAAGACTCTAACTACCATGCTTCTTGTTAGGATGGAAGAATAAACTCCTATTTAAGTCACTGTACTGAAGTGTTCCATTGTATGTAGACATCAGCAGTGGACTGGGCATAAGAGTCCTCCTCCTAGCAGGCTGAGCATACCCTCTGTCCCTCAGGTACTGGCAGATTCCCTTTCCCACACCTTCTGGAAAATCTAAACACTGTTCTCCTCAACCAAACAATGCCTTCCTTACCCTTGAAGTAAAAGGACAAAATCTTAAGACAGTCCCTCTTGGTCCTGTGATTTTTCTCTTTTATATTTGCCTCACTAAATACAAAGTGGGACACTGTATTCTCTTTACAATATGCAGGCCAAATGTTGGGTGGCAGCAATGTAGGATGGTAGAAAGAACACAGACTTTGAAGGGATTCAAATTCTAGTTCTAGGTCTTACTAAGTGACCCTGAGAAAGTTACCTCTGCCTGAATTACTCCATAATAATGCTTTGTCATTGGGTTATTATGAAGGTTGAATGCATCAATCTGTGTGGTTGCCTCTGCTAACAAAGAACTGTGGTAAAGGGAGCTATTCCAGACTCAAAGATGCTGTCAGCTACTTACTGTTCAAACTTTTATACATAGTTTTACCTCCTGCATAAAATGAGAGAAAGAGTCTACTCACTCCTGGATTTGTGGGCATTGCATGAGATACTATATTTAAAGCTCAGAACCCTGAAGGTGCAGAGTACATGACGCATGCTTAATAAATGTTGGGCGGTATTAACGCTTATTTGCTCTCTTCGTTTCTTGCACACGAACACCTGCTGGTGAGGGATTCAAAGGAGAGATTCCTGAATAGGATCTGCTGGAGAACATCTTTGAGCACATGAACTTTGCCCTATGTATTCCAACTCCCAGAGGGCATACCAGCACAACCAAGAGAGCAATGGTGACCCTACAGTCACTTCTTTATTACTGGGTCTCAGCAATCCCAGGAAATAGAAGTGGAAAAGTCGATTTCACTTGAAAACCCATCAATAAAATGAGAGGTCTATGTTAAAGAATTTGGCTTTCATTATCACCCTTAGAACTCATGTTTCTTTATCTTTTCTTACATGTGGATAAAAATTTGCTGGGCTACAAAGAATCCCCCCTCCCCACCTTGTTATTACAAGATATGCCTTAGTAACAACACTTAGAAATTTGGGGACAGAAATCAAATTCATTTAGCTACACAGAAGTGACACTACTTAATTTCTTACATTCCAACCTTGCAGTACATCCTGTCTGTGTTATGTATATCATTACATTAAATCATAAAGATTTGTTGACAAGGTGTGCTACATACCTAGAAAAAGTTACGGGGGGGGGGGTGGAGTGGCTGGAGAGATGGCTCAGAGGTTAAGAACACTGACTACTCTTGCAGAGGACCTGGATTTGGTTCCTAGTACCCATATGGTGGCTAACAATTGTCCATAATTCCAGCTCCAGGAGATCCAACACCCTTCTGATTTCTGTAGGCATTGCACAACACAGGTGTACTTATATACATGCAAGCAATATACTCATACACATAAAATAAAAATAAATAATTTAAAAAAATTTTTATTTTTTATTTTTAAATTTTTTATAAATAAAATATTTTTAAAAAGAAAAGAAGTTATTGGGGAGTGGCTGGGGTGATAATTCAGTGAGTAAAGTGAGGATCTGTGTTGGATCCCCAGCACCTTCATAAAAAGCCAGGCACATTAGCACATGTCTGTAATCCCAGTATTGGGGAGACAGAGGCAGGAGGAACCCTGAGGTTTTCTCGCCAGCTAGCCTACCCGAATTGATGAATTCCAGGCTCAATGACCCTGTCACAAAAAATAAATGTAGAAATAATGATGAGGAAAATACCCGACATCAATCTCTGGCCTCCACACACACTCGCGTGTGCACACCCACATGTACAAGCACAGATACCCACATGAACATGTGCATAATCCTTCCCACACATAAGTATTTTTATTACTAGACAAATAAATAAGCTATTTATTAACAAATAAATAACATAAGCTATTTATTACTAGACAAATAACACTGACTTCATTTAGGATTTTATATGGCAAAGTAGTAAGTGAATGGCAAAAATCAATTTTCTTCCAGACTCGGTCTCTTTGTGTCTATGTTTGGAGGCCAATTGCCTTCCACCTGGCCAATAATTGTTTGGTATTTGACAAACAGCTACATTATAAGATATAGATCTAGAAACTCTTCTCCTAAGCTTTGTTCATTTGAAAAATTCCACAGCAGACAGTGAAAATTCCTGGGTAGCTATTTATTACCCCAAAGTGTTCTGTTTTGTTAGGATTTATATGTGCATTGCTTTCATAGGATAGTTTTCTGAGCACATTTATAAGCTATATCTGATCGAACATTATTACTTATTGATCTGGTTTCCTGGGAACACTGAAATTCCATCTCTGTGCTAACAGAGATATTCTGTATTCAGGACCACAGGGCAGTGCTGTAATTTCCTGCTGGAGCACTGCAGGCACCAATCTGTGATGTAAGCTTTCTTCTCAGCCTTGTTGGCTGTACCTGTCACCATGAGAAGGAGAAAGGTACTATTCCAAAAGCTATTTATGACACCTAAACTGCGGCATTCGGATGTCTTGGATATTTGTTTTCTACTTTTCTGAAATGGTGTCTGAAAGTGAATGAGTGTTAAAAATGATACAGCCAGTCTCTCTGATAGATTTCTAGTCAAGTTGTTCTTGCCTCAGAGCATGCTCAGAATAACAAGGACTCCCAGGGAGGAGGCAAGTTGTTTGAGGCTGAAGGAGGGAAACAAAGAACACCTCCTCCTCCTCGCTCCTTGCTGGCCTTATCCTGAGCACATGGGATATGTGTGTGTGTGAGTGTGAGAACGTTTGTGTATGTGTGCTGTCTTATCAAAGGGAACACCAGGCTTTTGTCTTTGGGTGAATCTGCTGTTACATGGGTATTGTGGTTAGGGATACACTAAATAACTCTTACCACATTTATTGTGAATCTGACTCTGAGGGGTGTATGTGTGTGTGATAGATCTAGGGAAGATTTTTAATCTGACACAGTTAAATATAATCCTCTTCCATTTGTCTTAGTGACTTTACCTGCTGCTGTGATAAAATACCCTGACAAAAGTGACTTAAGGGAGAAAGAGTTTATTTTGGCTCACAACTTGAGGGCACAGCCCATCATGGTAGGAAAGTCAAGATGGCAAGAGCTTGAAGCAGCTAGTTACACTGCATCTACAACTGTAAAGTAGAGCATGATAAAGACCTGTGTTTGGCTAGCTTTCTCTTTAAAATTAAAATTATTATTGTTATTACTATTATTATTATTATTTGTGTGTGTGTGTGTGTGTGTGTGTGAAGTATGTGTGTAGATACGCATGCCACAGTGTACACGTGGAGGTCAGAGGACAACTTTGTAGAGTCAGTTCTCTCCTTCCACCTTCCTTGGGCTCTGACACTTGAACTCAGGTTGTCAGGCTTGTGGAGCAATCTCTTTTACCCATTAAGCCATCTTGCCAGCCCATTTTCTCTTATTATGCAGTCTAAACTGCGGCATTCGGATGTCTTGGATATTTGTTTTCTAATTTTCTGAAATAGTGTCTGAAAGTGAATGAGTGTTAAAAATGATACAGCCAGTCTCTCTGATAGATTTCTAGTAAAGTTGTTCTTGGCTCAG